TTTTTTTTTTGCCATTAATGCATTTAGGAATAATAGAAGCGCGGAAGCCATCTACATACGAGTGCGAGGCACCTCTCGATGCAGGACCCTGTAGCTCTTCACTGCCAAGATGGTACTACAGTGAGAAGCAGCAGTGCATCCAGTTCCAGTACTCCGGTTTGTAATCGTTTTAATCACTGAGTAAAAAGAAAAAGATTTTCTGGGAAATAACAATTCCGGGATAGAACGAAGAAAATTGTAGCGTACGAACATGACCTTACTAGTTATGTTATGCGAGCAACGCTGTAGACAAATACGCGCTGTAGACAAATACGGTAATTACGGTGTTATCTTCTTCTCTTTGCTGCTGTTTCCAGTTTTTGCGTCAAGCTCTTGACTTGTATCTTCGTCCCACTTCTCTATTCTGTCCCCAAGTCCTGCTTCTTTCTATTTCAACTGTAAGAGCACTATGAAGCAAGCAATATCTCCCGAAGCTGTCTGTTGAATGCTTTTTAATTCATACGTCCGCTTAATATAGCAGTTTTTTACCGGGTTCCATGGTTCAGGATGCGGCGGTAACGGCAATAACTATCCGACAAAATCAGCATGTGAGAAGCGATGTGTTGGGCAAGTGCCTGTTAAAACGCAATGCAGTGGTGGTGCAGAACCTTTGAAGACCGCGAATGGTGCGCCAATAAGCTGTGCCAAGAAAGCCTGTCCGAGTGGTTACCTATGCTCTGTATTGCAACGAAGCTCTGTTTGTTGTCCTACGAACACTACTAAAGGTCAGCTTTGTTACTTTTCATAATTTGATCACGTGAGAATACTTTGGATTTCCGTCCAAATAACAACGAATTAAAAGATCAACATTTCACCACGTCTTTTAGTCCAAAACCCAAATTGCGACGCATCAGGCCTATTAGTGTAATCGTGCGTTTTGAGCTAAACTTGCAGGAGTCGTATCGCTAACAGCATTAATGTTTGCAGCATTACGGTTTAACACGTGGGCGCACACAGACTGTACGTTGGCTTTGTCTTGCATGCAAGGGGAAAAGGTGTCCGCTAGGATGATAGTATTACATCATGGAACCGCGTGGATCTCCTAGCGTGCACGATTTCAATTTTGCTTGAAGAGAAATGAGTAGTTCCGGTTTCCAGCGGCTCATCGAAAGATGCAACTTTGTCAATGAATAAAATGCTGGGAGAGAAGGACTACGAAATCCGCAGAATGCACTCGCTTTTGAGGTTGCGATAAATTGAGTTTTTGTCGCGGCGATGTGTAGGGAATTTAGCTTCCAAGCTGATGTTAGGCTACACTTGAATACAGGACGTCATTGCGAAATTTTAGCTTTGCAATTTGTCTGGTAAGCAAAATCGTCACTGTTTTTCGCTGCAAATACTTCTGAGTACCCTAAGGCCTGGCGCAAGTGCAAATCGAAACTTAACTTAGGTGTACAATTTCCTAGGTGGACGATAAATCTTCTAGCAAAAATTACAGCTATTGTTTCCCGACTAGTTTTCGAGCTGTGGCTGACGCAGGGCATACAGCTGAATTTGAAATCTTTATCTCACACATGGATAGGGAGCATTAGTGTGAATTTTCAGCTTTCTAGTCTATGTAGCTCCCGGAATCGTTTTCCCACCAAAAAATTTGTGTGCTTTTTTCGGCACACATGAGCGAAGATTTTAGGTTATAAGGATGTTACTTTTGGTAGAATAAGCCTGTAAAATTTCAGCTTTCTAGCTTCTCCGGTTTTGGAGTTGAAAATTGTTGACAAAATTCAGCCACACATACCTACAAACCATCAACCTCTTGACAAATGTGTTTTCATATTTGCATAACCTGCAAAAATGCACAAAAACCAACAAATGATGGTAAAGAAATCTGCATGCACGCTTAGAGCTTGGAATGCAAGTACGCATGCAACTCTTTTGCAAGAACACGTGTTGTTAGTGCTCCCCGAGTGCACAACACTCATTCGACCTGTGTGGGATAAAGTGGGGTGTTTTAGAAACTGCAGCTTCCGTTGTGGCTGGAGCAGACCTCTGCCAGCTACCAAAGGAGCGTGGACCGTGTGACCACTACGAACTTCGTTTCTACTACAATGTCCGGCTGGGTGAATGCAAATATTTCTTTTTCGGTGGCTGCGAAGGCAATGCGAATAATTTCGAGCGCGTCGAAGATTGCGAACGCACGTGTCGACAGCGTGGGTTATTATGCTTGTTAAGCTTCCGTAAACTGATACTTTTTTGTAGCTCAAAAAGCAGTGTTCCACCTCTCTGTTTTTTTATAATACACCTCAGCAGTTTTCAGCTGATGCCTTTTGACGGATTTCACATTTATTTTGGCTAAATTAGCATGCTTTTTCTAAGATCTGATCCGGTTAGATTTTGCTTTTTCGCTAACCTTTCCGGTCATGTCTACTTTTCTTTTATTTTGTCTCTAAAGTTGAACAGTGCTGCGCTGTCTTGATGCAAAAAGAAAGAAGTTGCTTTTACTCATTTCCCTTCCCTCCCGAACTGTTCCGCTAATATGTTGCTGATAGAATTAGTATGTTTGCCAGCTACTGCTTTGTAGATGGAACAAAAACGGCAGTAGCAGCACCACCAGTCAAATCAGCTCCACAGCTCATCACCCAGGGGCCGCAGCTGAAGAAAGTGAACAAAGAATTTGTGACGAAAAGCATTAAAAAAACTGGAGAAGACAGGAGCGCCGGTGAAAGTACTGGCACCGCTGGCGCAGTTTCTACAGATGGAACCAGCAGTGCTCATGGTGATGCTACCGTCGACAGAATTTTTTCTGGCAGCTCTGCACCAGGTACTGAACCGACAAATTTGCGGACAACATCGCATGAAAGCACTGTTGCCGAGGAACATTTGCGAAGGACCGGAGGCACAGGCACTGCTGATTTCGAATCGACCGTCGATGCGCACAAAACTGTTGCGGCACTCGCAGAAAAAACTTTTCACAAGTAAATTTTGTGAACGGAAAAATTTTTTTTTCGCATTTTTGCCATTGGCTTATACTGTTTGGCGAGATAAAGCTTGAAAATAAAATCAGCCGCTTGGAACTTTTGACATGCTGAGCTGCTTTATTTCATTAGGCCTTTCCCTATTCATGTGCACAGGCCAAAAAAGCCTAGAGTTTATGATAAAGCCTTTTTGCGCACAAAGCCTTTTTGCAATATGCTCTTTATCGGTTCATCACGCATAAAATGCAAAACCCAGGCTGGAACGCACCAGGCGAGCCGGTGCGATCATGCGTTTTTGCACCAGACTTG